GTCTATGCTCTCTTATTCCACATTCCATAAAATGGCCTTTATTCACATTAAATTCCATTTGCCAAGTGGTGCTTTTATCCAGGTCTTCTTGAAGGGCAATGTGCACTAGATACCTGGCGACAAGGATCCTGTTCGACCTATAAACCCCTGCGCCTGAATGTCGACTCCAGACAAAATTCCAAATACAGCGGCTAGAGTAGAATACTTGCTCACACTGCAAGGGAAGACTGCAGGCTGGCTAAGCTGGAAATACACTACGGACAATCTGGGACACGTGAGCCCTGGAACAGGGAACCAGGGAAACCGGATCCACTCAAAGTGCGTGCACAGTCACTGACCCAGTAGCCTGCAGGTAGCGACGTAAAGCCACCACAGGACATAAGACATGATGCACCCCCGGCCTAACTAACCAAGCATCCATAACCAACAGACCCCTCCGGAAACCGGCCGTTTCATTCTTCACCAGAAAAGAAAGAGAAGGCTGCAAATGAATAAAACAACCCCCAGGGCCAAAGAGCAGAAACCCCTGCGCTGGAGACGAGTATGAAGCTCGCAACCCGACCCGCAGAGGCCAAAACCAACAAAAACACGGCTTTCCAAAAACAATCCCGAACCAAAGGGGCCACCACAACAGAGGGAACGAAAGAAAAGAGGGCACCCAGTCTACAGACCACGACGGCTCAAGCGGCCGGATCAGGCCGGAGGTGAAAAAACGCACGAGTAAGCTTGCAGAACGGAGCAGAAGTGACATCCACCCCGAAGGCAAGGTGGCACAGCTCTGCTAATACCACACGATAAGAAGCTACAATAATCGCCATATGATGCTGGTCCAGAAAAGCCAAAAAAAGGACAAAGCAACAGTAACAGACACAGACAACCCCCCGAAGGAAAAGGAAATAGGGGAAAGACCACCATGAGACTTCATACTGTCACTGAGGTGAAACCCGCAGATAGGACACCATTAGAGATGCCACCTGATCACCATACAAGTGGCGATACACCCGCGTCAGAAAAACCAGACGTGAAGAGCGGAGGAGTAAGGTGAACCAGCGAGGTACCTCACTGGTCCAACCTGCTAAAAGAGGCGGAGCCACGGAAAAACTCCTGGGTTTGGACACCGAGCAAGCAGGGCCTGAAACCAAGGCTGGGCTAGCCCCAATGGGGCCAAGAGAAGCACCCTTTCCTGATAGGATTTAAGTAAAGCCAGAACCCGAAGCAACAGCTGGATCAGAGGATAAAGGTAGAAATCCCCCACCTCGACCAGTCCTGCCAGTCCTGTGCCACATACAATGGGAGACGCCGAGATCACGCCAATGCGAAGAGATCCACCTCTGGAGCCTGTATGTCCAACAAAGCCAAAAGAAGGAGGCGGCGTTGACTGTCCACTTCGTTGAAAAGGGAATGAAGCACGACAAGCCATCTGCCAGGACGTTGGACATTCCCTGGATATGAACGCCGCAAAGAGATAAACCCAGAGAACTCAGCAGAAGAGCTACCTCAATCGACCAGCCCCAAAAAGCCAGGGACCACAGTGAACCACCCCGGTTGAGACAATGAACCACAGGGAAGCAGTCCAAATGGAGCAGAATCATAGAGCCTCGAGGAAGCTTAATCTGCCAAAACGCCAGCCACACAGCCCAAATTCCCACACCGTACTGTGAGCCCAAGAGAAGGACGGAGCCCAACAAATCAGGCCTGCCTGGTGAGTGCTGGTCACAAAGCCCCAGCCAAGAGACGAGGCATCCGTAAATACATAGAGTGTGGGAAGGGGAGGGTGCCATGGCACCGAACCCCAAAAAAACGAAGAGGAATAAAGTAAATCTCGGAGTGTGAACCCAGCCGTCGCGAGAACGACGAAAAGGGCTGCTCCGAAGATACCAGAACAGCCTCCAAAGCCAAACCATGCCCAAAGGGTAAACCAGCATGGCAAAGTTCAGGATCCCACACAACTGCTCAAGCAACCACTGAGTGACCCGGGTCTCCCTCAATACAGCTGAAGGCAGGACTGCAACCAGAGCAACACAGCAGAAGGGAGGGAGATGGACGCAGTCCGCAAATCCTACAAAAGGCCCAACCAAGTCCGAAACTGAGACGGAACCAACTGGGACTTTTGCCAATTCACCAGGAACCCAAACCCAACACACTGGGAGAGAACCAGATCCCTGGCTAGCAGAGACTCAGACCAGCTGGGAGCCCACACCAACCAGTCATCGATGAAGGCTACCAGCCAGGAAGACACCGGAAGCATGAAATGCATCCGATCAGAAGAAGAGAAACCAAACTCAACCAAAAACTGGGTCCAACACAGGCGTAACCCGGATCTTGCCTAAGGCCTCCCAAACCCCTCGTGAGAATAATCCGAGAGGAAGAAATACCTCCAAAAAGACCAATCCGAGGAACCCTAGGGAACCAGGAAACAAACCTGGGGGGGTGGGGAGCCCTACCTACCACATTTGCCTGTGGAGAAGACGCACAATGTGAATGAAAGATTTAAGAGTTTTTTTTCCTGATAAAAAGAGCCCCATAACTAAATCGGCCATAATATGGACAAGATACGAAGGTTCTAAGCTTGGAAACTGGGTACAAAACTGGAGCCCATAATAAAACAAGAAAACAGTCCAGGGATCACAGGCTGTGAACACAAGAACGAGGCAATGAGATACAAAAGTGCCACAGCCTCGGACACAAGACCGGGAGACATGGGGAAAATGAGTCGGGTAGTTTCCGAAGGGCTCCGTTGGTTCAGCTGGGGCTTCATCATGTTTTGTGCCCAGTGATGATTCTTTGTTTCTACCTTTGCAGCACCGATTCTGTCTCAGTGGATGCCTTGTGGGTAGATCCCATTTTCTTGGTTCCCTGTTCCAAGGCCTCTCCTCAGATCATCCACAGTGTCATTAAATCTAGTCAGACTGCAGTCTATCTTTGTGCCCATGATGTTTGCAAACATGCTGTCCTCTCGGCCAATTTTGCTAATATGTCTTGGGTTGACTACTGGGTGCAAGGATTCTGGAAGTTGAACAGGGTTTTGGCTGCCCGGTACTTGCTTAATGTCCCTGGGTCTCGGCATTCCTGTATTGCTTTGGGTCAGCTGCCTACACCTATCATCTCTATTTCTTTGTGATGCCTGTGGTGCTCCCACCTTCCTGGCAAGTCCCTCCTTTTCTTCTCCATGTGTACATAGCTACAGAGAGCCACAAGGGACTTCCCCCAGAAAACAATGGTAGAATGTAATGAAATGCCAATTTCTGGGCGAGACCCAGTGGCTCTCTGACACTCCCTCAGAGAGCCACCGGGGCAAATGAGCAAGTGCTAGTTCATAAAATTTTCAGTTGTTTCTTTATATAATCTGGGGAAGTTCCATTGTTATTTTAGAGTCTGCAGGAATCGGAAATTGCCAGCTGTGGTTTGTTTTGTCTTTCCGAATTTTCACACAACACCCAAATTTCTGGGTGCCTTCCCCCTGATGGTGGCATAAACAAATAATTTAAAATATAAATACCACTGTTCCCTGCATCTCTGTGCCTTAAGAGATACTAGCAACAAGAAGCTACTGGGGGTCACCCAGAAATTGGAGTTTCATTACATTCAATGCCGTTTTTTTCTTAGTGTATGTGACTTAAAAGCACACGTCGTATTGTTCAGCCATTCTTCTCAGCTTATTTCTATCAGGTCATGGTTTATTTGAGAGTGGCTGCACATGTCTATTGTCTATGCTAGTCTGAACTTTGATTAGGTTGTGATCTGAGTAACATCTGTTTGTAATCATTATTTCTTATCAGTTCATCAGGATTTGGATCAGGATGTAAGTTATTCCAGACCTACATACAAGCACTAATACATGAGGAGTAATACATGGTTTGGATCAGAGTGCAAGATGTCCCAGACTTAAATGCTACCACTAATACATGAAGAATAATGCTGGGGTTGGATCAGGGTGTAAGATGTCCCAGCACTAATATGTGAAGAGTAATACTGGGGGTTGGATCAGGGTGTAAGATGTCCCAGACCTAAATGCTACCACTAATATGTGAAGAGTAATATTGGGTTGGATCAGGGTGTATGATGTCCCAGACCTAAATGCTACCACTAATATGTGAAGAGTAATATTGGGTTGGATCAGGGTGTAAGATGTCCCAGACATAAATGCTACCACTAATATTTGAAGAGTAATACTGGGGTTGGATCAGGGTGTAAGATGTCCCAGACTCATGTGTTACCACTCTTTCATGAAAAGCATGAAACCTTATATCTGGTCAGGAAGGGGTGGATGTTTTTGGCTCTGGGACATCTTACACCTCAGTTTTAATAATACAGTACCTACTTGATACCTGCTTGATGGGGTTTTGGGAGTTCTTCTACTCCCCAAGCCAGGCCCGAGACCAGACTTGACTTGTGAGAGCTTGATCCAATACTGTTGTTTAGAGCAACCCACAGGCCCACATACTCACCACAGCCAGGTTGGTCCGGCACTTCTTGAAGAAAACTATCTAGTTTTCTCTTGAAGATGTCCAAGGTTATTCCGGCAATATTTATTATAGTTGCTAGGAGGACGTTGAACAACCGCGGGCCTCTGATGTTTATACAGTGTTCTCTGATTGTGCCTATGGCACCCATGCTCTTCACTGGTTCTACTCTGCACTTTCTTCCATATCGTTCACTCCAGTATGTTATTTTACTGTGTAGATTTGGACCTGGCCCTCCAGTATTTTTCCACGTGTATATTATTTCTTATCTTTCTCGTCTCCTTTCTAGTGAGTACGTTTGGAGAGCTTTGAGACGATCCTAATAATTTAGGTGTTTTATCGCATATATGCATGCCGTACATGATCTCTATACTCCCTCTATTTCACAATAAAACGTAAAATAAAACAAATAAACATTAAACAAATAACATAAAATTCTTAAAATAAAAAGCTTAAGATCATAACTTTTCTAGTGACAGCCTACAATACTTTCTTCTGACTGACACATTGCAAACATCAACAAAATATTTTGCTTACTGGTATTCTGAATTCAATATGTTCATTTGCACACCATAAAAGATATCTCCTGGCTGCCGGACTAAGCATGTTGGCTGTGTCTGTCATTACCAAGGATCAAATATCTGAATGGTGGAAATTTCTTTGTATGCTTCTCGAACCTTCACTACATTTGAGCTCACATCCACATCATCCTTTCCTGAGGCAGCACCTGTTAGAGAATAACAGTTGTCTATGTCAGGTGATAATGTTACTTCAGTATATATATTAATACAAGCAGTTATAGAAAGTACAGATGTGGCTAGAATATATAATTAATAAAGACAGTTACAGAAGAAGCAAACATTAATCTTTAAAATGATATATACTCCCAACTTTAACCTTCAAACCGCGCATATCATATATAAATGATATCAGTGACAAAACTGAAACCGCGCACATCATTTATATATGATTTCGTGTCTAGCGCTATAATTTAAACTCCCCGCCTGGGATAGGGGCAACTATAGTACAGCCACGACCGATAGTTGCCAGATGCCACCTAGAAAAAAAATCCAGGCCAACATTCTTGGGTGTGAGAGCGTCAGTATTGAGCAAGCCACCAAGGCTGGCGCACGCAGCACGAGCTCACAGCACCGCTGTTCAGCTTGTGACCACAGCATCGCCTACAAATACCATAATATATATGATACTGCTATTATTTAGCAGTGAGAGTATTACTGAAGCCCCCTGACTGTGATAAAACTGACCAGGATTCTGATAATAGCAGGATTGTGGTGATATTTAGCGCTGTGCTCCATGGAGGGAGGCGTAAGGCTGTGCGAGGGAGGGTTGTGGCGTTGTCTTCTGACTGTGTGTGGCCACCATTTATTGACTGCACTCACCATACCAGCTTAGTGGTTTGATATGGTGAACACAAATGTAGATACTTATATATAACGTGTGTATATAGGGTATAAACAGCAAGAGGAGTAGGTTGGGAGCCGCCATTTTGGTGAGGGCGGTGGCGTCGTCTGCACGACTTATCATGTTGTTTACAGGTGACCACAATAGTCTTTGGGCACCATACCAGCTTATTTGTTCAGGTATGGTGAATAAAACAGGTAGATACTTATATATAATGTGTGTATATAGCGTAATAACACCACAAACAGTATTGTTGAAGGACAAATATTAGTGCGTCTGGCCTTGAGGGCGGCCGCCGATCAGCTGACTGTGTGAGTAGCTACGTCTTATGGCCTTTACTCACCATACAAGCTTAGATGTACAGTTATGGTGAACAAAACATGTAAATACGTATATATAACGTCTGTGTATAGTGAATAAATACAGAAAGAGTATTGTAGGAGGTGAATTAGGGTGAGTGAGGTGGTGTTGATGGAGTGAGTGGCTCGCTAGTGTTTGGCGGTCACTCCTCGTTGCTTTTTGACTCACAAGACCAACTTAGTAGTTCGTTATGGTGTACAAAACATGCAAATACTTATATATAACCTGTGTATATAGTGTAACAACAGCAAAACTATTTGTTTATTGTTTTATGAACATAATAATTGAATCACTAATATGCACACCATAATTTTGAGTACAGCGATGGTTCACACATTTTATAATATAAATATACCACAATTCACTGTATGGAATAATATTACTGCAAAAAAACTAAGAAAAAAAATCAGAGACATTGAAATAATTAGGTAATAATATATTTGTGGCAACTGCCGTCTGACAGCTCGGGCGGAGTAGACCTCATCTGGCGAAGGCTCTGCCAACGCCCCTTTTTTGCCACACTTCCCTACCCTATTGCGGCTAAATTATCCCACCTATGATTTTTTGTTATTTTTTCCGTGATCAGGGAACAAAAATGAACACTTCTATAAGATGAAAGAATTTTTTGGATTTTTTTTTTTGTTGCGCCTGTGGGTGTGAATTCCATTTGGGCCCCTAGCGGTTTGAGGGTTATTGGTGCTATTCTTTTTCTGATTAGCATACTGTACTGTACTTGTACTGTATTCTTGGGATGGCCCTTCAGGAGTTCCACTAGCTAAAGCAGTGGGGTTGCCAGGCTTCAGTGAATCACACCAGGCCTTTGAGACCCACCCAATCCTACCAAGAGCTAGGGCCAAAATCTGGCGCTCTCTGCAAAATAAGGGGAGCTTGGGGGATCAGAGATCAACTCAAAACCCAGGAAAACCATGAGAAAGTTAAAGCACACACAAACAAGCAACTGCTTAACCCCTGCACTGTGCTCACTGAGATATCCCATTTCACAGGTGGTGATCTCAATGAGAAAACTCGTTTGTAGGTACAGTACATAGAGAGAATGATTCAAAACTCCCACGGATACACAGGGCTCATATCTGCTTCCTCAGGCCTCCAGTAAACAGAAACCATCTTTGAAAAACAGTGCTGAATGTAATGAAACGTCATTTTCTGGGTGAGCCCCGGAGACTCCCTGGAGCTATTGGACTGATATGCGATCTCATGTCTAGGGCATCAGTCAATTGGAGTTCAGCCTGCTAGGGACCACGAGCCAGAACTTGGCCCCTTCAGAGAGGCACAGGAAGCAATGGCCTATGGAAACTCACATGTGGTTGGGGGTATTCCTTGTCTACCATCGACTAGGGTAAGGCCCCCAGAATGGTAGGCATAACAAAATAAGCCCCACTTGGTAAGAAAATTACAACCAAAGACCGAACAGAGACGCACACCTTCCCCAACACCCAAGGAAACATGCAAACAAGCAAACGTCATACACCGTTGCCGCGCCACTTGGCCGCGCAGCCCTCCCCTTCCCAGGAGGGGAGAGCCCTGGCTCCCCCGTGCCGGCTACTTACACCTCCAGTTTGGAGGCTGAGCATCAAAAGCAAAACGAAACCACCGACCAGAGAGAAGGGTGGGTGCCAAGGAGCCTCCTGGTCTCACAAAGAAATTGGCGTTTCATTACATTAAACGCTGGTTTTCTGTGGGGAGCCCTGTCGGTTCCCTGGAGCTCCATAACTTCCACAGGCCAGAGGTGAAACAAAGTATAAGACAGCTTGCAGAACAGAGCACAAATAACATCCACTCCGAACGCAAGCTGAAGCGGCTCCGCAAGTGTCGCACAACATGAGGAGACAGTATTTGGCATAAGATGACGGTCCTGAAACAACCAAGAAAGGAAGGACAAGACAACCCAATCCAAAATAGAAGGAACCTTCATACTACTGCCGAGACGAAGCACACAGGTAGGATACCATCAACAAAGTCACCTGCTCACCATACAAGTGGTGATAGACCCGTGTCAGAAAGACCAGACATGAAGACATGAGGAGAAGATCGAACCAGCTACATAACAGACTGGCTCGATCTGCTAAAAGAAGCGGAGCCACTGGAAGACCCCCAGGAAGCAGTGCCTGAAACCAAGGCTTGGCTGACCAACAAGGGGCCAAGAGGACTACTCTCCCTTGGTAAGTCTCCAAGCAAGCTAGGATCTCGAGCAACAGCGGAACTGGGGGGGAGGGAGAGGTACAGGTAACCCCACGTTGACCAGTCCTGCCTGAAGACATCGACCCCGACGGCCTCACAGTCGGGAAAGTGTACCACATATATAGGGCCACTTTGACCATGCCGACGCGAAGAGGTCCACCTCTGGAAGCCTGTACATCCGGCAGAGCCAACTGAACGAGTCGGTATCTACTGTCCATTCCATGGACAGGGAAATAAACCGGGGACAGGCCGTCCGCCAGAAAGTTGGACCCCCCGAACCAGCCCCAAAAAGCCAAGGACCACATCAAACCCCCCCACGGTTCAGGCAATGAACCACCTGAGAGCAGTAAAAATGGAGCCGGATCATCGAACCGACATCCGTGAACACATCGAGCGAGTGCTCGAGTAGGCGCCAGGGCACTGAACCCCAAAAATTCGAAGAGGAAGCCGGTGAAACAGCAACCGACATAAGGCACCCGGAGGCCGAACCCAGCAATCACACGAGAGGCAGAAGGGATGTTCCCAAAGGAACCCAGAACAGCTGATGAAGCCAAACCCAGCCCGGCAGGTACACCATCACGGCAAAGTTCAGACTCCTTCAACAGAGCAGCCAATGCCCGCACCAACAAAACCAGTGTATCAGACCCAGGATCAGCCCCAAGCGCCTCTATGTCCTTAAGCCAGTTCGAAGACAGCTCGAAAAAGGAAAAGAAACAGAAGACCAAAGCCAAATGGCCACGGGCGTACAAGTCCTCAGCAACCAGGGCAGCCGAAAGGGAGGGAACCTACATGTGAAGCTGTACCAGGCTGACATCCTGAGGAAGGGCAGGGGCGAACAAACACACATTGAGGCGCTCAAACTCGCCCCCCCCAGGTAAACCTGCGCAACCGTAAGGGCCTCTCGCCAGTCAAGCGAGCTGGACTGACAGAATGCATGCCATGCCCCTAATGAAAAGATAGGACAATCTGCCAACCAGGACGACTCTAGAACCTCGTAACGCACCCAGTAAGGAAAGGAAGAACCAAACTCAAAAGATCCAGGATCCATTATCGAAGCGTAATCTGGGTCACGCAGGAGGAACACTGCAATGGCCTCCTGCACCTCATGAGGTAGGATGCAGGAGGCCAAAAACCTCCTGAAAGACAGGACTGAAGTACCCCAAGGGAACCCGGAATTGAACCCGGGGAGGGGTTGATGCCACATCAAACTTGTACAAGGAGGGGGGATAAGAAAACCCCACCCCCTGCTCACAGGGTACCAAAATCCAAGAGAGGTCAAACGGGGCCCAAGCCGCCCAAATCAGCCTTTCCCTCACCCTGGAAACCTCCACATCAGGACCCAGGGTCGATCCATCCTCCAAACCCTCCACCTCGCCACACCGGATGAAGCATCCCCCGAAACTGCCCGAATCTCACCACCAACTAACCCTGCCCCTTGCCCCTTCCCCAACTCCGAAACTCCCGGAGTCAGATGCAAGGGGGGGAGGAATAGGACGAACAACAGCAGGAAAAAGACTAGGGGAAGCAGACAAAACCAAAGTCGAGGCGACTAACACCCCCAAGTCCAGGTTCCTATAACCAAAATGGGGCAGCCTTGGGGCATCCGGGTGAACAACCAATCTAGTACGCTGCAGCAACATATAACGTGCATGCAATGCTGAAGCTGCCTGTACCCGAATATCATGATGAGTGGATTGTGTGAACTGGAGTACAAACAAGCAACACCACTTACAGGACTCCAGGTCG